GTCCTTCAGATTTTTCGGACCTAGTGAGTGTGTTCAGGGCTGCATCTGTTTGCTGAAATATGTCAATGGTATTCTATCAGTTCCTGGGGTCTTGTTTTTGCCAGCTCCTTCAGAGTAGCCTGCACTTCTTCCTTCACTGCCTCTTGATCATATGCTGTTTCATGAAATTCTTCTGTGTCTGCCAATTCTTTTTGTTACAGTGACTCTGTACTCCTTCCATCTTCTTTTGATGCTTCCTGACTCATTCAACATTTTGACCACAGCATCCTTAAGTATCACAACTCAAAGCCTGAATTTGTTCTTCAGTTCCTTCAGCTTAAGAAATGCAGAGTATGTCTATTCAGATTTTCTGACTCCATTTCTTTGCACATTTCACTACAATACTTTGCTGTGTCTTCCCAAGCTGCCCTTTGAAATATTTTACTCAGCTCCTTAAATTCTTGATTTCTTCTCTGTGCTTTGGCTTTTCAGTGCTCTGACATCCATCTTGGTCTTTTCTTGCTCCTCTTTGTAATGGCCTTTTGCACTCTTCCTGGATGATATTCTTGATATCCTCCCACAGCTCACCTGGTCTTCGCTCACTAGTGTTCAAGGCCTCAAACCTACTCACTGTCTAGTCTCACTTTCACATTTCAGTAAGGTTGATTCTCAGAGGCCACCTTCAACCTTCCTCCCTAAGACACTCTTCCCTGAGACACCTTTCTCCCCTCTGTCCCCTTTTGTGTCACAGCCCTCTAGTCAAGTCTGGTTTAATATTAACATTACAGCTGGGTTTTTGGTTACTGTAACTCATTGGATCCCTCTATCACCGCAGATGGAGAAGTTTCATGAAGAAAATCTGTGGGTCAGCCAGAAATTCTCCACACAAAGCGTAAACAAAACCCACATCCCGTCCAAAGCAGGAGGACTCATGACTGATGCTTCCCTTTGGATTGTGGTGTGGGCAAAGAATACTGAGCAACTGAATATACTCCTGACTCTGGAAAGAACCACGGGACTTGAGGAAGAACTAAGGTGCTCCCTAACAGCAAGGAGGGTGGAATTTTCCAATCACATCATTTGGGCACACTGTCAGGGGAAGGGCAAAGGGAAAGACTGGAGATGGAGGCGATGGACCGACAGAGTTACTGCCATCGTGCGTGTGATGATGGCAGACTCAGGATGGTACAAGACAGGGCAAGGTTCTCATGTGCTGCTCACAGGATTGCTGGGAGTCAAAGTCAACTTGACAGCACGTGAATCAAGCCTAACACACACCTGTAGAATGAAATACAATGGCTCAGGGTCAATAAAAGGTTTGGCATTTTGAGAGATTCAAATAAAGAGAGAACAACAAAATCTGTGGGTATGGTGTTGAAAGAGAGAGAGAGAGAAGACAAACATACACACTTTGACCTTGAGGGAGAGTGAAAGTGAAGCTTGAAAGATGAACTTGACAGTGGAAAGATGTGCTACGGCACATCATAGTCATGTGGCCGCTGTGCACTGTCTCCTCAGGTCAAAACCCCAAGGCTTCTAACCAGGGATGGAACGAGCAGACTTCCAGGTCAGACGGGCCTGAGGTACTAGGACTACAAGGAAAACAGGAATGGTAGTGAAAAAAGTAAGTTATCTTAAGAGAGTCCTAGAAAGCAAAGCAGTAAATCCAAACAGTGCTAAGCACTGGAAAACTCAAAACTCCCTATCAGAATACAAGAGAGACTAGAACGGCACAACCAACAGCTCGAATCTAAGAGACTGGGCAGCACTCTTCCCAAGTGAGGGGGCACCTGCCCCAAGAACATTCCACAGCAAAGAACTCCAAGCGCCTTCTCAGGGTAAAGGGAGGCATGCCAGCCACAGAAAGGTCCAAGCAGCGCTCCCGGTATCCAAGGCTCCCTGCAAGGATGTTGTAAGGTTCAACCACAGTGATGCTCACAGGCAATGTTTCTGTGACCCCCCATGGTCTCGGTCTCTGAAGCCTTCAGTCAAACTTCCCTGAGCTGGGCCCCTGTCCCCTTCTGCTATTCCCTGCTCCCGAGTGCTTCTGAAGTAACACAGTTACGGAATAGCTGGACACTGTCACTGCTATGAACAGCAAGCAACCAATCAAACCACCTCGAATGCTCAAACAGCAGCCACACTTGCCCAGACAAGAATTCTTATCAAAAGATCAAGATTAGTCAACATTTTTAATAATATAAAAATTGTCAGTTCTGAAAATATTTAAGTAGCTGTAGTAGTTTTACAAGGGCCAGACAGATCACATTCCCTAAACATAGTAACAATAGGTGGCAAGCAACTATTTGTTTGTATTATTTAAACTCTTGAATGAACGGATTTTACAATCGGCACCTAGAGAGGAGGACACGCATAGCAGAAAGGCGGCAGCAGCAAACTCTCGTGAAGGAACTGCATACCAGGCCAAAGCAAAGGCCAGCCCCAACCAGTGTCCCTTCCCACTGCCCTCAGACACAGCCCGAGTCAGTGTAGAGCACACAGGTTACTCTGGAGACCACAGACAGTCCTCAAGAAAAGACTGCCTATGGCTGTTACAAAAAAGATCCCTCAACCAGTTAGCTCACATACAGAACAGAAGCACAAACACCTTCATAAAGAACTCATTCAGAAAACAAACTCATAAAGAAACATAAAAGCACCAAATTCTACCCCAGTGGTTGAGGTGAAAAAGACTTATTCACCACGTCCCTCACTTGTTAATATAAATATCACTTTCTATAAAAACCCAAACCAAACAGTCCTCTCCTGGGTCAGTACACACAGAGACATGTTTCCACAGAAAGGCCGCCAAGAGGGGAAGTCTCAAGTACAATGAAGCTGCTGTCCTGTCTAAACCTGTGTTGATCCTGGTACCAGTATAAAGGGTAACACACAGTCTAACTAAAGTCCCATACCTAATGTCTCTCCAAGTTATAATAAACATGCTTATTTAAATGGACAAGAGTTTTAAAAACACTGCAAGTTTAAATCACTGTATGGAGTCCATGTCTTATGAAAGAGTTTTTAATTTACAACTTTTAATTCCAGATCAGGAACAGTCATTTTAAGAATAAAACTCTATCCAGTGGGGATCTGGGAAGACAGGGTAATGGTGGGCATAGTTCAACGGTGATTAATTTTATAAAACATAATGAATGAGAATGACTTGAAACACAGTGTGAATGAAGGACAGTGCGAAACGCAATGTACATGAACTCTGTAAGCAAATTAATAACGACATAAAAATGTAAAAAAAAAAAGAATAAAGCTGCTATTTACCCACTAACTCTGACATTATGGTCACAGGAAACAATTCATCAAAAGTGATGTTTTCTTTTAAAATATGTAGGACAGCAACTTTTTAAAAAGCTTGTAATTTTTCTGATGCTCTGTCACCTCGAAATAGTCAAAGACAAACCATTTAAAACAGTTAAGTTCAAAGTTCTCATAAAGAGGAAACATATTAACATACTAAAAAGTTAACTGATCCTCTGAGAGACAGGTAACTCCAGGTGCCACAGCTTCTACAGAAATGCTCTTTCCCAGGTGAAGACTTTTTAGAACTAAATTTGTTTACAGAATGCTGGACTAACTGAGCAGATCTGTAACACACAGCTCTACCTGGACAACGCGAGCTGAAGACTTGTGGCTCCAGCAGCCATGGCAGAGCACCAACTGTTAAATACAGGCTAGCAGTCCAGAATGCCTGCTAGGAAGAATCTGCGTCTCTGCAGTGTTTCAGAAGAGCACAATCAAATGGACAAGAAGAGAGCACATGGCTACAAAGCACACAGACACAGACTGCTTTACATTCCTGATAAACCCGCCCATCAAACCCACTGCTTGTGTGGATTCTCACTGAGCTGCCCCGCAGAACAGAGCAGAGCTGCCTACACAGTTCCCAAGGCTGTGGTCCCTGTGGGAACGGCCTGCTTCTCTCCTCTGCAGCGGTGGTGGGTCTGAAGCAATCACCTTTTAGTAAGCTGTCAAGTACTTTAACCACTGAGTCACCGGGGGGGGGCGCTCCTATATGAAATCTAATTTACATGAAATTCTTTTCTCCCACAAAGTTGACTTTGTCAAATAGAAAAATGCACATGACTTGAACAGGCTGGCTGAGCAATCAAGACCCTCAGAGAGAGCTCTCCTGATTAATTACATTATTTACATTATAAATTTCTAACTATCAGCAGAATACTAATAATGTCAAAACTAACCAAGTTCTTCTACAGCTGGTTAGGGCCTGCATGTCCACACATTTTTTTTACTAATATAGGATAACTATGGCAAAGGCATACAAAACCAGTCATTTCTGGTTGAAAAGGTAATAATAATCTGGTCACAGCTCAATCACCATTTCTAGATTGCACAGAAGGGGAGCTGGGAGGAGATGTGGGAAGGAGGAAGAGACTCAAGGTTTCCTCTGGGAGAATTTCTCTCGAATCCTCACTCTCCAAAATCACGTGTCTGTCTTCTCAGAGGCCCTGGCTACAAATTCTAAGAATTCTTACTATGTTGGGAACAGAGGCCAGAATGGTGCCTGGCACGTCATTAAGAGCAAGTTTCATCATCTGGAAAAATCTCACGCTGGGCCACGACATCTTCCTGCCGGCTGCCAGGTCCCGGGTCCCCACCACTGAGGAGGTCTCCCCTCCGACACAGACGCTCCTGCCCATCATGGGGGTAGAGAAACCCTGGCTCCTATTCTGTGCTCCACAAACAAGCACACTCACTTCCTCACACATGCTAACAGCGCCAAGCTTACACACTCCACTTCTACGATGAGTGACTCAGACGTTTAAGACTGTGTCTGAAGAACTGGCTGCAACCTCACGTCTGTGCCCACAGAACACTTCTCTCACAAAAGCAAGACGGCTTTCCCAGCTAGGACCTGAGGATATCTAAGCGTGGCTATTACATGACATCATAGGACTTAAACACAATAATCACCTATTCCTTATCATTAAGCATATTAATTTAAAATCAACTTGAAAATACAAGAGCTGCCGAGCTGTACTTACTGCGGGTACCAGTAATTTCTTCACTTCCTCGACGGCTCTCTTGAGCTTGATCTCGGCTCTGTTCTGAGCGTCCTCCACAGTGATCAGGACGTGTAAATCTTCATTCAGGTGCTCCCAGTTGGGCTTGCCTCTATTTTGCTCCTCCTGTAGAAGTGACAAAGCATACGGTTATAAATCACTCTCCTCAAGGAGAGGACACTCTTCACGGCACTGGCGGGCTGCCAACTGCTTGAGCCACGTGTGCACTTTTTTGCTGGGATGACAACATAAACCCCTGCATTATTTCCTTGTAGAAAGCCTGGCTCTGGGTATGCCAGTTTAAGGGAAAGCATCGATGTTCCACTTCCAAAGCCTTGAAACCACCGAGGAAGGGATGTGCCGTGTTGGAAACCTCCTGGGGTGCCAGAGGGAGCCTGAGAAGTATGAGGAATCACATTTCCACCGGCTTCCTGCTCTAAAGGCCCATCAGAGCAAGCTAGTAGTGAGAGGAGCTGCCGCGGAACCCCCACCCTACACCAAGCTACGAGGCTCGAACCACAAGAAAATGCACCGGTTACCAATCAAAGCACGTGGGCTGCGATGGATCAACCACCTTCGTCCACAACTCCCACTTGCGGACTGTGCTATGAATGCTGTGAACTGAGAGCATGTCTCTGCCCTGACCCAAAGGTCCTCAAAGGAAGCATCTGCTCTACCTTCATGTCCTGTCACAGGAGCTCGGACGGACTGCTGTGTACTGTACTGTTCTGCGATGTCAAGGTCAGCACCTGGGACCTGGTGGCCACTTCACGGGGAAGACGGAGGTCTGCTCCTGTGAGGATGTGTAGCCTCGGAAAGTCAGTGGAAGGCCCCCCGGAGCGGTGTCATCAGCATGGAAAAACAGGCCAATGACCCAAGAGGAAATCCAGCTTGCCTGGTCCCTCCATAAGCTGTCTCACCTTATCAATGAGATGTTCAAGGCCAGCTCACATTGAACAAAGCGGACTGACGGCACAGCAGTGGGTTACCTATCATTTCAGGATTGCTCAGAAAGCCCATTTCCTCACGAGCCAGTGTTTGCTGGGTGGGCAGCTATCAGGATGGCCCCTGCACCCTCAGGGTACCCTGTGCTCAAGCCTGCTGGGCTCAGCTGGCTGGCTTTTCACAAGGGGGTGTCCAGGCATCTCTTCAAACGTGCCTCTGAGGGGACACACATCTCCAATCCTCAGAGAGCAACCTGAACACACTGCACCACACAGGGTATGGTGTTAGTTTAAAAACCGGGCTTTTTTAGACATTTCATTAGCCCCCCTCTAGTCATCATCAACAGCTGTTGGACTAGTATGAAGGGGGAGGGAGGGGGAAAGGAGAGGGAGGGGGAGGGGGAGAGGGAGGAGGAGGAGAGGAAGGAGAGGGGGAGGAGAGGGAGGAAGAGGCGATGGAGAAGGAGGAGAGGAAAGAAGAGGACAGGGAGGAGGAGGGGAGAGGAAAGGAGAGGGAGGGGGAGGGGAGTGAGACAGGAAGGAGGATGGAGGGAGTGGGGGGAGGGAGAGAGAACACAGGTAAGCAAGCTTCCTGTACCAGGTGGCAAGTCTTAAGGGAGCCTGGAGCAAGACCCTGTTGAGTGTGCAACCCTGGTGATGGAGAGACTGTGGCACTGCTTTGAAGAAACTGTGGCAAGGTGTAAGCAGAGGAGTCGTGCGATAAAGTTAAAGGTTTTGCTGTTTGTGCTGGATAATTAAGGAAACCAGAGGCTCCTTGAATTTGTGTTGCTGAACTGAACCGGAGCCTGGACTGAGGACTTTTGAGACTGCAGGACTGAAAAACCTGGATTTTGCATTGGGTGATATTCCTTTGCTAACCCCACTCTCAAACTGCCCTCCCTCATAAACCCCATCCTCAGTACCCACAACTAAGAGTCTGTGAGTCAACAATGAGTAAATGGACCTCTCGCTCCTGCTATGATACCCTGGCGCTGGGCCACAGCACTTTTCTCTGCCTTCTGCTCTGGGGTGGTAAGGGGCTGTGCTCACTCCCTCTGGGCCTTTCAGAGGGACACTCTCAGCCCTGTGCCCATACGTCCCATTTTCTGCCTTCTAGAAAGAGTTGGTTGTTTGCAAGGGTCCATGATAAGTGGCTAGCACTCTTCCAGAGGGTGAGGCCCAGGCACTGAGGACTCCTGCCCCAGGTGGGGGATAGGGAAAGGGAGCAGGGAATTGGACTAGGGCCTATGACAGTACTGCTCAACTCAAATACAATGGCTCCCAGCAAGGCATACAAGATCAAGCCATATTCTACAACAAGGCACAAGCACACAAGTGAGGATGGACACTAGCCAGCACTAACAGGCAAAGTCAGATGCTGGCGCCAGTCAAAGATGACAGGACACACGGGGTGGAAGGAAACTAGGACACACAAGAAGCTTCACTTCAAGCTAGAAGTGACATGGATGGCAGGGTTGGCAAGGACATGAAGTGTGAGTGTGGCCCGTGTGTGTGTAAGAGAGTGTGTGCAAGACACACACACACACAAACTAAATGACGCACCCAGGTGCTTGTGCGTACAACCAGAGCAACACTTCTCAACCAGAGGGTTTGGGGAAAGCGAAACAGCAATCCCGAGTGACCTGCCACAGAAACACTCCTCCACAGAAAGACACAAACCAGGAGATTAAAAACGGAAGAAGTTCTCTGTCCAACAGGACTGGAGAACAAAGGCACACCCCAATTTGTTTTTTGGCTTTACTGAAGAAGTTATGTGTACTGTGTGTATATATACAGACAAAACCACAAACATATTAAGGGTTTTCCTTTTTTTCCAGTTGTAGAACAGGATGGCAAATGTCTCAAACTCAACACTCTGCTGTTCAGCTGACTCTGACTCAGAGCGAGCCCCCACGGGGCTTCTGGGGCTGTGATCTTCACAGGAAGAGACGGCTCACCTTCATCTCTCGAAGAGGCTGCTGGAATCAAACTGCCAACCACCCGGTCAGCAGCGTGCTGTGTCTGCTCTAAGCCACTAGGGCAACGTATACTGTAGGAGTCCTCGAGTTGAGTTCAACTGAGCGATCCTACGATCGGTGAAGCTGAACCCTGGCCTCTCCTGTGCCAACCTCACAATCTGACACACACGCGTCCATGCAGCGGTCACTGTTGTCAGTCCACCTAGTTGAGGGTGTTCTTCTCTTTCACGAACTTCCCAGGCACGACTGTCCTTCTCCGAGGCACAGCCCCTACCAGCAACATGCCTGATGTATGTGAGGCGAAGCTCTATCATGCTCGCCTCCAAGCAGCACTCTGGACGCACCTTCACCAAGACTGACCTGTTTGTTCCTTTGGCTGTCCACAGGATAGACATACAGCACTCTGACAGAACAGCAGCTGATGCCTCTGAGATGTGGTGCTGGAGAACTGACTAACCCACGGAAAATGTACAGTCTTGTCATTTAATGATAAATGCCAGTTAAACACCCAGAAAGAAATGAACATCTACTCTAGTTTGTTACACAAGATGTGTTGCTTCATGTTTGGAAAAATGAAGAACAAGAATTTTCAGACAAAGATGGTGAAATAAATGCAGTACTTTAAACTCCTTCCTCAGATCTCTTCTAACACTGTATAGAGATCAAAACGTACAAAGTTCTAAGAGAAAAGAAATTTTTTTAAAAAAAATAAGTGAGGCGAGCTCTGGTGGCCTAGTGGCAAGAAGCTGCACTGTTAATCCCAGAGTTGTGAGGCTCGAATCCACCAGATGCTCTGCTGGAGAAGGAGGGACAATCTCCTCCTGTACCAGTCAGATCTGATTTGACGGTACACACACATTTAAAAAAAAAATTTATTTATTTTTAAAGTGAGAAGCATAAAGCAAATGGTCCAGTGGTAACTATTTCAGCAGCCCAAGGGACAGAAACTGGAGTCTGAAAGCAAGACTGGTCTGAAAAGAGCCAGGTTTACGACTCAGCGCTCTGAAAGCCCGATGGAGTCACAGCACCAGCAGAGCCAAACTGTCCTGCAGTGAAAGCCTGAGTGAAGAAATGCCACTTCACACCCCTCAGAGGGAAGACAGTGCATCCCAGAAGTAAGGGGGGGAAACTGCCGTTAACAACCACGCAAGACCCAAAACAGGTACTGAAAATACAGCAGACACGAAAACTGCAGAAATGGGAAATAAAATCATCAGGAATTCTCCCTGCAAGAACACAACCTCTAAGCTGCAGTAGAAAACCAGACAGAAGACCCACCGAAGAATACTGAGAAACTCACCAGACGCCTCCTCCAGATGAGAAGAGCCCACCAGATACCCTGACAGTGAACAAATGAAACAGAAATGGGAAACCAACCGAGGGGTGTCAGTGCACCCACTGGGGAATGAGAGCAACAACAGGCGGGGTGGGGACCAGAGAGAAAAGGGCCCCGTGGCTCCCAGAGTCCCAGAAAACTAGGATCTTTCATCTACATGCACATGCAATTTTGGTTCTTAAAAAGATTCCAAGGGCATTCTACCCAGAAATCCCATTCATCCTCTTGTCATCCATTCTAACTCAACAAATTACACGTCTTCAAACTGAGTTTGGAGATTGGGAATTTTTCAATACAAAGGCAATTTCTCCTAATGTTCTCTCTCCCCCCCACTCCCATACTGGAAGAAGAAAATTAGAAATGAAAATAAAAAGAGAAATTAGTTTGAAAATGATGATGTCAGATAATTCAAGTTAATAAATTACATTCCCACATTCAAAATTTGGTACATTATATGTGATTTTTAAAAATTTTTTTGTTTTTAATTTTATTTTTAAATGCAATATGAACAGCATATTCTTCCCATTTAATATCCCCCCTCATTCATTCGTTACTGTATGCGTGCGCTTGCTCTCTCTCTCTCTCTCTCTCTCTCTCTTTCTCGTGAGTGCATGGAAGTTTACAGAGCCAATTGGTTTCACGTTTCCCTATGCATCTGCCCTTTCGTTTTAGGACATTCATGACACTGCACACAATGGCATGTCTTCCAATGTCCACGCACCTGCCTTTTCTACCCCTCCTGCCTTCTGAGTTGATCCCTGGGCACATGCTGCCCTTCTGATCTGATGTGGTTGATTATTCTGAGTGTCTGGCTCTCTGGAGCCACTATTCATTTACCTTATAAGGTCTACTGCTTAGCTTCTCTCT